AAATAGTGCTGGGGTAATTTTATGCAGAGCCCCTGGCGACAGCAAAGGGGCGCGGCCGCCTCTTCATCCTGAAACAAGCAAATGAAATTGACTACCCTGGAGATCAATCAGGACATTAAACACTGTGATGGATGTGGCAGAATTTTTCAGTGCCCGAGATTTACGGGGCACCTTTCACCACGTGTTCCAGGAGCCTCCCCAACATCAATTAGGCCTCATAACGAGGTGGGCCCACCCCCACCTCTGCTACATAAGAAAGGGCCGCGTTTGTGCACCTGAGTTTTGTTAAACACCGCAGATGGGAGCGATACTCAGAGCAAACCCAGCTTCGAGTACAGCCCACATTTCCCTCAGCAGAGCCGCTCCCAAAGGAAGGATGTCGGGGCTGGGGTCCACTTTGTCATGTTGGGTGCCTCTGCGCCTTGTCCACACGTGACCTCGCCCGTGCGGTACACATCTTCCTTAGGTCATCTGACCCCTCCTGAATTTAGTCACCGGTCTTGGCTTCTCCCCTGCCCCCATCAGCCTGGATCCGATGTGTCCTCTGCCTCTGAGTCCTCAGGACGTGATGCGTGGCCGAGAGGAGTCGCGGGCCCGAGGCTGTCGCTCCCTACTCAGTTCTTGGGCAAGTGCTAAGTTCTGCGGTTTCGGTCTTGTGCTCTGAGCCGTGGGAATGGGATTTAAATAAGGTAATATATACATAAGGGGCTCAGGACAGCATCTTGGGCATGAAAAACCCTAAAAACAAAGTTATTATTGTCACCCTCCGCCTTCTCTGAGATCTGTCAACATATTCAAAAGATTAAAGCTTGATGACATCTTGAAAGATGACGAAGCTCAACTTGCCATTTCACAGAAGATGGAAACGAAGCCCCAAAGGAGGTGCGTGAGCAGAGTGACCTTGAGACAGCAACAGAGCCAGCACCAGAACCCAAGTGTCCTGGGGAAAAGCCCACTTGGAGCTCAGACCTCCCCGTGGCCTCAGGTTCCAGACCCCTGTTCTCCTCACTCAACCACACATTTAGAAAGAAACAGCCTCCACACCGGAAGTGAGAACGCAAAAAGCAGCCACCACCTGCCTTTAACCTCCTGACCAGCCGTGGGAGGCAAGGCCAGGGAGGCCCCGAGAAGCAAGACCTCACCCGAGGCCGACCGCGCACTGACCGGGACACCAGGAAAGTAAGTGCCGACTGCCCACCTGTTACCCCCAGGTCCCCCTGCCCGGGTGTTATGACAGGCTCACTGTGCCCCAGAGCACGCGGGGGTGGGAGGCCTGCTGGAGCCTGGAGGCATGGGGCCGCAACGGAGTTGGGGGGGGAGGCTAGGCCTCCCTCCTTGCCCACCCCCCACTGCCCCTAGGCTGCACATCTCATGCCCGCCTCTCTGTCAGCAACTCCAGCCCAATTCTCCGTCCAGAAAGCAGGGGTGACGATACTCACTTTGGAGACGCTATCCTGGAGAAGGACGCATCATAAGGAGTGATAATAACCAACATCTCTAGTTTCTGTGCCAGTTCTACCATTTGCTTTGAGAGCTGAGGCAAATGGCCCTTTTCTCCCAAGAGACCGATTCTTGTGTTTCCTCTTGCCCTTTCTGCCTCTGATGGGACAGCTTATCAGCAGCCCTTCTACATTTAGGATTCCTAAATCCTAAAATATTGGTTAAAACTTAGGGCTATGGAACTTGTGGCCACGCGCCACCCCGCATGGGCCTCACAAGATTATCAGTCAAGGCTCCTTCAGCTCAGCAACAGCTCACCAAATCCATCCTTTACAATCAATACTCCTCGCCCGGTCACCCAGCCTCTTAAGCACTTTCACGTAGAACTAAACAAAACCCCTGTGAGAGACACTGCGAAATGCACCAACCGACCAACCCTTCCAGAAAGACTGTAAAGAGCATTTGTGGCTGGGGATTCTAGCCTGCAGCCCAGGCCAGACACGCCCAGCCCTGCCGGCAGCCCCGCTCCCCAGGTACCTTGGGAGGAAGAGCCCCACTCTCTGGCAGCCTCGCCCGCAATACTGGACCCATTTCCAGTCTCTGGGGACCCATTCTGTAAACCAGAGCTTTCAGTCAAACCCTGTCCGCGCAGAAGGCCAGAGGATTCCTGCAGCAGCCTCCTAATGGCTTCATTCTCCTCCCTCCATGCCTCCCGAACACACCCCTGGGTAGGCCAGTCCTACAGGTCAGGTAAGTCATCCTCAAAAGCTGCCAGTGGCTCTCAGGGGTGCATCCGAAGTCTGGTTTAGGTGGCCAGGCTCAGGAGTCATACAGCTCTTTGTGGAACGTTCTGGACATACTGACATAAATTTAACACACAAACAAGTGGCTTGACCAAGTGGCAGAGTCCTTTGAAGCACTCATGTAACACATCTCCACAAAGCAAAAGCCATGCAGGCTCCTGGCTGCTGACCTTGATCACGTGCATTCACTTTTTTTCCACTCGGAAATATCCTTGTTTGTTTCTTCACAAAATAGGATTTCCCCCCTTAGGTGTGGTCACCCTAGTTTTCCCATCCCTGAAGTGCCAGTCGCCCCCACACCCCAGCTTCTCTCCTCCCTCCACCACCTGTCTCTCCCTGCCTGAGCGTCCGGGAGATCTTACAGTTGGTCTGTCTTTTGGTTTCTCCAGATTCCACATGTAGGTGAAACCGTCTGGTACTGATCTTTCTTCTTCTGGCTCACTTCACTTAGGACAGCCCTTTTAGTTCCATCTGTGCTGCTGCAAATGGCATTCGTTTATGCTTTTTGATTGCTGAGTAGTATTCCTTTGTGTAGACATACGTCCTCCTGAGCCACGCCTCTGTTCGGGGGCACTTAGGTCGTTTCCCTATCGCTGGCTGTTGTAAATGGCGTGGCAGCAGGTATAGGAGCACAGGTTTCCTTTTGATCACTTTTTCGTGGGTTACACTGTAGATCCATTTCTAGTGTTTCACAGAGCCTCCACACAGCTTTCCACGGGGGCTGGACCAGTCTGCACTGCCTCCAACAACCCTAAGAGGGATCCTTTTTCTCCACATCCTCACCAGCGTGTTGGTGGTTTTCTGGATACAGGCCATTGTGTCAGGTGTGAGATGGCGTCTCACCGCAGTTTTCATTCCCTTTGGAACCTGCTCACACTCCGAAGACAGGCATTGCAACCACCATACTTCCATGAAGAAGTATGCAAGGAAGACCAAAGATTGGGAAAATGTATTATTTTTCTTACAAGGTCTCACACTCACAGTACCAGCCCTGCTTGAGCCCCTGTAATGTCCCTGTTCCTCGAAGGCGGTGTGAGAACCACTGAGCTCTGAGGAAAAGTCCAAATCCCTCAGTCCTGCTGTAAGTGTCCTTGACACTCTGGCCTCGGCTACCCACCACCCTCAACCCTTTTCTTGACCTTGGGGTTTCTGCCCCCACTGCCTCAAGTTCTGATCTGTTTTCACTTCTGCCCCCGTGCTCCTTTCAGAAGGTCCCACTTGGAAGGAGCACCTCTGGACAAGCCCCTCACACAGTGCACTGTCAGCGTTTCTAACCGCTGTGCCTTACCCAAGAGCATGGGTCGTGGCAATATCCTCGAGGGCAGGCAGGGACTGCTCCGCCGACAGCAGTGCTCCCAGAGCCCAGCCCCTGCTCTTTCCCCATCAGAACCACCCACTACGTCGGCGCAGTTGCTGGGCCAGGCTTAAGTATCTCCCCCAGAGCTCTCTATATAATAGACCAGGAGTTCAGCAGGGCTGTCCCCCAAGAATTCCCGAGAAGTAATGGGGCCAGGACAATGCATGAGTCTGCCTTTCCAGGGCAGAAACGCTGCGCCAGAGCCCTCACGAGGTGAATGGTTGCTTGGGGCTGGCACGGGACGACGTGACAGAGGGAGCAAAAGGAAGAAAGACCAAACAGTTGAACTCGGCCGCAAGGAACCAGGCAGAGGTGCCCTGAGGCCACTCTCCCTGCACCCCACAGGCTGCACTAGCAGTGTCTCTCCTGCCCCCAGCAGGGACGAGGGAAAGGAGGGCCTGCGCAAACATGGGACCGTTGGGCAGAGCCTCACAGACAGCAAAAGATACAGGAATCACCTTCCCCACGGTGATTCAAACCACATGGCCTTGGACAAGGCACTTCGGCTTCTGTGTTTGGGCATCCTTATCTGGGCGACAAGGGGCTGCACGAGATGACAATTGGGTCTATGAGTCCACGGTCCCAACAGCATCATGTTGCCACTCGCCTCTCACCACAGTGCAGGCAGGCTGAAAAGCCAGCGATATTTAACCACCGTCTACTGTCACAGTGTGGACCAGCCATGGAGAGGGACTGGCTGGCCCTCCCGCCCCTTCCCTTCTCTTCTTGTCAACTACTGCACCTGCAGATCTGATGGGGGGCAGGCTTCTTCACTGTCCTTTCCTCTTGTCAGGCTCCCCGTGACCCCGACACCTGCTGTGCCTGCCTGTAGGAGGGTCAGAGCCTCATAGGCTCTGTGGAGGTGCACTCATGGCCCTGTGATGCGGACCCTCAGCCGGGCCCCAGGACAGCAGAGAGTGCCCTGGGGAGCAGGAGTGGTGGCAGGGGAAGGGAAAGTCAGAGCTTTCTCTGAGTAGGATTTTTGTGAGAGCAAATCATTTGTCAGCATAAAAGGGCTATTACCTCAAAGCAGCCTGTCCTGTCCTCCTCTCTCCTTTGGGGACATAAATCTCAACATGAAATGGAAAATTAAAATGCAAGTCAACTGATCACTTTCAGTGGTTCACGTCTTAGTCGGTTCTGCTTCTATCACACTAGTGATGTTTTCTGGACACAAGGGGATACTTTATTTTCATGCATTTCTTTAACTTGAAATTTGTCAATCTAGTTCCCGTCTCCTTTCAACAACTGGACTAGTTAGATTAGGCCAGCAGGGACACATGTTGACAATCTTGCCTGAACCATACAGTCCTCTATGAACATGACAGGCAACAGAAAAAGAAATGGATTTTTATTCCCTTCAATTTTTTCTTTAAGAAGCGAGAGATCTTTCTGGTGGCAGTTTTAAGGCTGTGGAAAGGCTTTATTATGTTTATTAAAGAATTAGTAAATTTCAAAAAATAATTGTTTGGAAACAAATAATTCAAAGGAAACATAATAGCCCCATAAAAAAGCTTTTTAATCATGTTAAAATTTTTCCTCAAATTGAAAGTAGCTCTCCATGCTTTCCAATGATTATAACATCCACAAATGTCTTTGATTTCTGCTGACATAATTTTCCTTCTTAAGACATTTCTGACTCATTTTTTCTTCAACAGCTCAGTCATCTCAGGAACTACCTGCAAGATAAAGGGAAGAAAGGTAATTAAGCAGTTCAAGCCTTCACTGTAACAGAGTCACCAGGAGGCCAAGAGAAACACATGGGAGTCACTGCTGGGACGCACGCTGCCCTCTCCCCACCAGGAATGCCCTGTCCTCCTGTGGCCCCTCCTCCCGTTCATGGGGAGACCACAGCCACTTGTGACACATGGCTAGTAGGGCCAAGAGCCCACTCACTGCCTAGCAGCCATTTGACCCTACCCCAAAAACACAGAAATAGGAAACCCAATTTTTCTTGTCTGTGCTAAGAACAATAAGTATTTTCTACCTTCATGTTCCCCAGAATTCCTCCTTCTCTTATTGCATTCCTGCCTTTCCCTCAACATCCACACCAAAGTCTCTAACTCACCATGACTCCCGTGAACATCCTCATTTTCCCTTTTTCGTTCATTCATCATTCACTCATTTCATAAACACTGTAACTGCTTCATCAGCAAAAGTCTCTATCTTTTGGCTCATAAAAATGAGCTGCATGCTGCACATTTAATATCATCACTCTTGGGGAGGGCCCAGCAGCCAAAGGTTAGCAGTGACCATCTGGGAGAGTGCCCTTTGGCCCACACACAGCAATAGAGGCTGTGCATCACTACACTGAGCCCACCAGGCCCTGTATGTGAAGATGCACAGGTAGGGGGAGAGACCAGCAGCATACAGAGAGACCTGGTGACCTTCAGGACTAGTGCCCATCACCCCATCCATACCATCACAGTCCTGGTGAAATACGGTGTGACTACACTGGACCCGGCCTGACCACCAGTACCTGACATCCCAATAGAAGCAATCTGAAGTCATGCCTGCTGGCACCAGTGGAGCAGTGGTCCTGCATGTATAACAAATCCGAAAGCAAACAACAGGGATAAAGAAAAATACACACAGCTAAGCAAGCCATCTGGGTAACAGCGCACAACAAACTCAACAACATTAACATGGAAGAATTCCTCTGCCTGACAGAAAGAGAATTCTCAATTACCATGATTAAAAAACTTAAAGAAGAAGAAAAAACTGATATAAGAAATATACTCAATGGACTGAAGAATGAAACTGAGTTTTTGAATAAGAAAATAAAGGAAATGGAGGATCTTAAAAGATTAATGGAGGAGTATTCTGGGGAAAGCAAAGAAAGCAGAACTGATGAAATAAAAGTATGAAATCAGTACTCTTGAAGATACCGATATAAAAAGAACCAAAAAAGAAAGGGACAGAGGGCAACAAAGGAAAAAGAACAAAAAACACTTCAAGAACTATCATACACTGTGAGGAACAGAAATATAAGTAATAGAAATCCCAGATGGTAAAGAGAGACAAATGGAACTGAGAACCTATTCAACGAAATAATCAAAGAGAACTTCCCAAACATGAAGAAGGAAATGAAAACAGATAAAAGGAAGCCAGAGGAACACCAAATTACCATAACGAAAGTAGAACTACAGCAAGATACCTAATAGTGAATCTTCAAAAAGTCCAAAACAAAGAAAAGATAATTAAGTTGACCAGGGTTTAGAAACAGATAATTTATAAAGGAAAACCGATAAGGCTGACATCAGACTTCTCTGAAGAAACACCACAAACAAGAAGAGAATGGAACAACATATTTAAAAAACTCCAAGACAAAAAAACACCAGCCAAGAATACTGAATCCTGCCAAACTCTCCTTCCTATATGAGGGTTAAAATAAGGAACTTCTCAGACAAAATCTTCAGAAATTCACTACTACCATACTCCCACTCCAAGAAATATTACAAGAAGCCTTAAAATCTAAACTAACAGAGAAATGAACTGGAAGAACTGAACACAGCAATGAATACAAACACAAAATGACAAACAAAATGGCAATTATAGACTCCCATGAATCAATAATAACCCTAAATGTAAATGGACTAAATCATCAATAAAAAGACAGAGCAGCAGGCTAAATTAGAAAACAGAACCCAAGCTTCTTCTGTCTCCAGGAAACACACTTAAGAGCCAAAGGTAAACATAGATTAAAAGTACAGGGCTGGAAAACAATCTTACAAGCAAATGGCCCCCAAAAGAAGGCAGGGGCAGCTATACATACATCAGATAAAATAGAATTCAAAATAAAAAAGGTGACAAGAGATACTGATGGGCACTACATAATGATCAAGGGGACAGTATACCAGCAAGTTATAACACTAAACAATATATATGCACCCAATGAAGAAGCACCAAAATACATTAGACAATTATTTTCAAGTCTGAAAACAGACACTGAAGAAGCTACACATGTGGTAGGATACTTCAATACCCCACTCTAACCAATGGACAGATCAACAAGACAAAAAACAAACAAGGAAACAATAACCCTTAACAAAGACATAGAACACATGGGCTTAACAGATATCTATAGGACAATGCACCCAAACACATTGAAGACACATTCTTTTCAAATGCACACAGATCATTCTCCAGGATGGACCACAAGACAAACCTCAACAGACACATTAAGATCAAAATCAGGGCCTCCCCGGTGGCGCAGCGGTTGAGCGCTGGGTTGCGAAGCTGCCCGCAGCCTCTGCAGCACTGGTTCAATCCCCGGCTGCTCCCTGGCCACCGGAGGAGGGTCCCGCATGGCGCGCAGACCTCTCCTGTCGCCCGCTGCTGCCCTCAGCAGTGTACTTCGGTCCTTCTGCCTACTCTGCTCCCCGCTCTGGCTCTGGTGAATTCTCTCACCCTCCTGTGCTTCTGACTGTACCCAGTGCATGTATGTATAAATAAATAAATAAATCTTAAAAAAAAAAAAAAAAAAAAGATCAAAATCGTACCAACTAACTTGTCTAACCATCAAGGCATCAAACTAGAAATAAATTATGAAAAGAAAGCAATAAACCTTCTCTCCCTACCTTCTACCCTATTACATGGAGGCTGAAGGACATGCTACTGAAAGGCCACTGGATCAATGAGGAAATCAAAAAAGAAAGTAAGAAACAGAGACAAATGACAAAGACATAACTTTCCAGAATATATGGGACATGGCAAAAGTAGTAAGAGGAAAATATACAGCAATACAGGCGCACATCAAGAAATAAGAAAGATTCCAAAAACAACCACCTAATCTCCCATCTCAAAGAACTAGAAAAAGAACAACAAAAAGACCCAAAACCAGTAGAAGGAAATACTAAAAATTCAAGCAGAAATAAATGAAATAGAATTAAAGACAATCCAAAAGATCAATGAAACCAAAAGCTGGTTCTTTGAAAAAATAAACAAAATAGACAAACCTCTAGCTTACAAAGAAAAAAAAGGGAGAAAACTCAGAAAGGATAATAAATAAAAAGAGAGGAAATTAGAATGGACACAGCAGAAATCTGGAGGATAATCAGAGAATACTATGAACATTTATTAGCAAATGAGTTTAACAATCTAGATGAAATGGACAAATTTTTAGAACGACATAATCATTCAAAGTGGAGTAAAGAGGAGATGAAAAATCTGAACAAGTCAATTATAAGCAGCAATATAAAAATAGTAATCAAAATCCTCCCCCAAACAAATGCCCAGGTCCAGAGGGCTTCACAAATGAGTTCTACCAAATGTTCAAAGATGAACGGGTGCCTATCCACAAAAACTTTCAAAAAATTGAGAAAGAAGGAATACTACCAAGCAACAACAAAAAACTACAGACCAATCTCCCTAATAAACAAAGAGGCAAAAATCTTCAACAAAATTCTAGCAAAACGAATCCAACGATGCCTCAAAGGAATAATACATCATGACCAAGTAGGATATATATAAAGACACAAGGATGGGTCAACATTCAATTAATGTAATTCACCACATCAACAAAAGAAAAATAAAAACCATATGATCATATCAATAGATGCTGAGAAAGCATTCAATAAAGTACAACATCCATTCATGATGAAGGTCTTTGAAATTCTTGGAATAGAAGGAACTTACCTTAACTTAATAAAAGCCATATCTGACAAACCTACAGCCAGTATCATCCTTAATGATGAGAAACTGAAAGCCTTCTCTTTAAGATCTGAAACAATGCAAGCATTCTCACCACTTCTTTTCAACATAATACTGAAAAGTCCTCACTAGAGCAATTAGGCAAGAGAAAGACATACACAGAGTCCAAACAGAGAAAGAAAAGTAAAACTATCATTATTTGTAGATGATTTGGTAATATATAGAGAGAACCCTAAAAATTCCAGAGAAAATCTATAAACAGTATAAAACAATAAACCAGTTTAGTATAAAGTAGCAGGATACGAAATCACACAAAAATCAGTAGCCTTCTTATATGCAAACAATCTATCTGAAGAAGAAATCAAGAAAACCACCCCATTCACAACTGCACCAAAAAAAAGAAAATTCAAATACCTGTGAATAATGAAAGACTTTTATACAAGGAAAACTACAAAACACTGAAAAAAGAAATAGAAGACACAAAGATATGGAAAGATATTCCTTGCTCATGGATTGGAAGAATTAACATTATCAAAATGGCCATCCTACCAAAAGCAATTTATAGATTCAATGTAATTCCAATAAAAATCTCAATGTCACTCCACTCTACAAAGAAACAGAACAAATATTGATGATCTTCATATGGAATCACAAAAAAAAATCTCGAATAGCCAAACTCTCCTAGCTAAAAAAGAATTGAGGCATTATACGCCCAGATTTCAAACTATACTACAAAGCCATAATAATTAAAACAGCATAGTACTAAAACAAAAACAGACAAATAGACGAATGGAACCAAATGGAACCGAATTGAAAATCCAGAAATAAAACCAATGTATGTGGTCAACTAATCGATGACAAAGGAGCAAAGGTCATACATGGGGACAAGAATAGTCTCAATAGTGGTGTTGAGAAAATGGGACCACTGCATGCAAAAGAATGAAACTAGACTACTGCTTCACACCATACACAAAAACCAACTCAAAATGGATAGACCTGAAAGCAAGCCCTGAAACCAAGCAACAGG